GTAGAGAGAGAGAGAGAGAGAGAGAGAGAGAGAGAGAGAGAGAAAATCTTGATAAGATTGATTCAATCAATGTACCTAAAGCATTTTTCTTCTTTTTGTCTACTTTCTGTTTCCATGAAGGTTAAAAGATATATAAATTCGAAATAAAACACATTGTACATAATTTAAAAATAGTAGCAGTTTCTTAAAATGTACAGTTAATTAACTTATAATTTAATAAGTTCAATTTGTCAAATCATTTTATCAAAGGGACCATTTGCAATCTAGTTGCATGGGTAAATTGACAAATTTATTGTATTATATGAACTATGTATTTCGGGCCACTATTGTTTAAAAAGTATTGCCATTTAATTGTAAATCTGAAAAATTTCTGGGAATATCGTATAGTGGTATAACAATTCACCCAAGTAGTTGATCTGATGTACGTGCTCTCAAAGATCTCGATGGATATTTGTCGTGGCACTAAATGGGTCTCAGTACTTCAGAAGGAGGCACACAAGAAGTAAACAAGACAAACCACGGGACTGAGATAAATCACGTTTGCGATAATTCTACGTGCACTTCTTCAAGAGCAATACGAAATAACGATATTTGTGTACTGCCGTCGGCATCGTTGGAATATTTGGCATCGACGCGGGCTAAGAAGGGCTATTGTCATCGATAGTAGTAGTAGAGAAGTGTTTGATAGCAGTAGTAGCAGTAGTAGTGGAGTGTAGTAGTACAATATCCGCTACACTTCTTATTTCTTGGTACTCACCACTAATCGATCGTGGTCGCGCGAGAAAAAGAAAGAAACAGACAGAGAGGGAGAAATGAAGAGAGAAAGAGAAAGGAGAATTCGAATAAGTGGATTACAAAACACCGAGCACTCTACACCGCACTAATACTGGATTCGAATGACTGTGCTCGCGTCGAGAGCGTCCTAGTCATAGCACCCCCGGGCTTTGCACACGGCACGTGTGCATTGGGAACGTCAATGCTGTTGACGATGCCGCGCCGCCGGTGGCGGTAATGGTGAACGCCATCGCGGATTCTTCGCCAAAGTACGATTTAGGTATCTTTGGGCCGAAATTATGTCCGTCAATGATCTTCACGATTCAACTCTATCTCATCTAAGGATATTTGATATTTTATAACAAAATACTTCGATCAATTTAATTTCATTACAAAGCAAATTTAGATATATCTTCTGTGAGCATATACATATATTTATTTCTTGTTTACTTTGTACTTTGTACAATGCATTCATGACAGAAATGTGTTTGTTTAACTTTTGACCTTCCAACAGCATAGATAGGGTAGGTTTCATAGACTTAATAGTATAATAGTAATAAAGTTAAAGACTAATAGGAGATTTTATTTTTTTGCATATTATTTTTGCATATTATTAAATGCATATCTTTTTATTAATATTTAATAACATTTTTAATTTAAAATTTTACCATTGCAATAGGAATACTGATAGAAATAAAGTAAGTATAATAAATCCTATATCATTATAATTATAATTAAATATAATTTATTATAATTTATTACAATTAAGTATTATAATTAATTTAGATTATTGAAATTAATTAAAGAAAAATGTTTTTGATTAAAATATTAATAACAACATTATCTACAATGTACTATATTTTTCTAATGATTATAAAAAAATTAAAAATTTTATCAAAAAATAAAATATATTATTTATTTGGAAATAAGAGGCTATTTCACGTCCTCTTGAAAAATTTATTTGTTTTAAAAATTCGTTTAAAAATATTTATCGAAATATCGAAATATCGAAATATAAAATAAAAAGCAAATATTTATAAATTTCTGAAAGTAAATGCATTTTCCTTTTTCTAAATATTGACATCATTTTAAAAAAAACATATTTAAGCATTCAATGCATTCTTTCAAATATAAAATATTGATACGCGATATTGATGCACGAGTAAAATATTTATTCGTTTATTTTTTAATTTTAAGAAGCAAGTACTATAAACATGAATACTAAAAAATTAAAAAAGAATTGCTATATATAACAGTGTGACAAATTATAATATATTTCAATAGTTGGCATGCAGCAGAACTCTCAGCATACCGAACATGACTTGTTTATAAAAAGGAGCAACAGAAATGCCTCGCAGTCTAGTAGGTGACATTTATATATATCACAGATTAGTGATTATATTTATCCGAGACAATAATAAAAGTGAATCATTGCTATAACGTTATTATCTCTATTTGGATTGATTCAATGGAAGTAATTTAATTCAAATCAAAAATTTTGCTAATACATATTGTATTAGCGTGAGTAAAATGAATGAAATATATTCAGATAGTCCGAAAACAATCCGGAGATAATTAGAAGACAAATATAAAAAAATAAAAATTCCATATAATTATTTTTACATATAATTATTTATACATTATTTATACATTATTTTACATATAATTATTTTTTTCTAGAATCAAAAATATATCAAAGACAATGTGATAAATTGAAGAATTTCAAAATATCTGAATTGAAGAATATCAAATATCATTAATAAATAATTCTCAGACTAAAATTCTTTAATTTTAAGATTTTCTTTTAATTTTAAGATCTTTAAATAAATTAAATTTTGAATTAAATTAAATTAAATTTTTCTTTGAAATTGATATTAGTATGTTCTAGAGCCTGTTATAAAAATTGAAAATATATAATTTAAAATGTAATATTTGTGTACTAAGAAAACTATATCCATATAAAGGAACCTGTTTGACCCAGTTTAAATCATGTAAATCTCCGCAAGCTCACAACGGAAAATTCCCTGAGAAGAATTACGGTCGTGGTGGAAAGTAAAAATACATTGAAGATGGTAGACGTGAAGAATTCCAAAGAGTACCCACAGTTAGTGAAATATAACAAAAGTATGCGAGGCTATCGTTTGAACGACCCCCACATTCTTAATTTCTTCTATGAATATTCTTGACTTTATAAATATAATTTTAGCAAGTGTTGATCCACCTTTGACGATTGAATTTCATGAGATATAATGGACAATCACCATATTGTTGTGATAAATTCTGAATAAAACTATAAATAACGAAAAAATAACGGCATTTTGTTAAATTACATAGCTTTATGTTACATTAAAAACAGAATTTTATTTTTATCTCACACACACACACACACACACACACACACACACACACACACACACACACACACACACACACACACACACATATATATGTTATATTTTATTTGCATTTCCTATTACAAATTTTTCCTTATCTTTTCTCAACTTATTTACTTACAGTAGACAGTGCTACATTACAGTGCTAATTAATACAATTAAATAAAATACTTATTTTAAATCTTCATAAAACATTCCTAATTAAAATATTTGTATTTCCCAGTACTCTAGAATATATATATATATATAATGTACGCTGTAAAACTTTACTTCCATCAACACAAGGCAAGTCGCAGGTATAATTCACTGTGCTCGGGAATTTTCAATCGGTCTACAATTTCTCGGGTTTAGCGGGTGTTTTCCGCGTTCCCCGAGCGCACCCTCGTTTCGCTCGCGGGATTCCTCATTTCGGCGAGAGCGGTGGTGCGCGAGAGAATCGCGATCTCTCGCCTTTTCGTAACGAGGCACCGGTGGTGAGCACCGGTGGTGCGGTGGGTAAGGAGCCGCGCGGCTACACACTCATCGTCTAATAATAATATCTTACTCAAATTTCTATTTTTAGGGAGATATACGTGTGCGCGCACGTGCCTTTATGTAAAAGGCCCAAGTATATGGTTACGCACGCCTACGTGCGGGCCGCGTTTACGGTTATGAAGACGACGACGTCTCGAATTATTATTGCACCAACGGGATGTAATGTCCACGTCGTGGATCTAACAAAGTAACAGTCAGGATGGATAACAGAGCGGCACCGCGCTCTGATAATTCACGCGATGCGCTAGCTAAAGCTTTAATCTTCTAAGAAATAATATAAACTATTTATGCTAAACACTTAGTCGTGATTTTAACTGCACTGTAGGATAAATAGGTATGTTAAAATATAATATCGTGTCGACACGATAATTTTCTAATGTATATATATATAATGATTATTTTTTTAATGTATATTTAATGTATATTCCAAAAATATATTCCTTTTGCAAATAGTGTACATTTTATTAATATATCCATAAAATGTGTAACAAATGCACACTATTTCTATTAAGCTCTATAGAACAATTATATTACTCTATACTTTTGTATTCTTTTTTTTTTCTCTGTGAAATGATATCTAAAAATGAATAATTATAAGTTTTTCAAAGAGAAGCTAAAAAAAAGAGGCTATTAATATGGATCCTGATATTATGTGTGTAAATATACGTACATACGTATTGCTCAAATGCTACTATCTATAAATCAGAGATTATCTAAATAAATATCATAGATTGCTCCTCTTTTAAAAATTTATAATTTAAATATTTAAATACTATAAAGTATATAATATTAAAAAAATGATGAGAAAGAGAAAGAGAGAAAATCCATTTCCTTTCATTATAAATATTTTTATTACTTATATTCAAAGAATTTATTCAAATTCAAAGAATTTATTAACTTAAATTCAAAGAATTTATTCAAATTTCATATGATATTATATAATATTATATTACGTTATACTATATTTCTAAATAACAGATAAATAGAAAATGTCTAAGTACGATTAAAAATTAATTTATATTTGCTAAGTAATTTATTTATAAGCAAAACTTTTTAAACGTCCCTCCCTCGCAATGAATATCTATAAAATACCGCAAATGCGATATATCACGTTTCTCTTTTCTCCGCCTGAAACGTTACGTTAAACCGTTTCCGTTATCCCGAGCTAACTCGAATTTACTCGCCTAGCAGGCGGTGCTCGTTATTCGCTAAGCTTGACAAGTTTACGTGCCGCGGACTATTTGCTCGCAAAAGTAAACTGTAGCACGCTTGCTACGAAGTACGCGTGGACCTTCCGGCGCGGTGGCGATGGTGGTAGCTTCCGGTATATTCTCAATCTAGCACACTGGATTCGATAATGCGGTCGGGCACAGCACGGTAAGGCTTCTTCGGCTTTTTACATAAAAGCCAGGCGCGCATTTATCGGCCTGAAAATAGAAATTTGAGCAAGATATTATTATTAGACGATGAGTGTTCTCGCGGTTCTCAATTCGGCCTGTCCGTTTGTTGTACAGAAACCGTCGGAGGATGACCGCTTGTACTTCACATCCTCTTTTACTTGTACTTCTCGTCTCTCGCATATCTCATTCTTTGTAAAAGTATTTTCATTTCTTTTATTACACATTATCATCTCTTCGCTAAGAATTTTATTTCACATATTAACATTAACACGGCAGCAATATATAATTAAGATTAATAATATAAAGTAATAAAGTAATATAAAGTAATAACTCAAATAATAACTCAGCTTAATGTAGAAAAAAATAAAAATGTCAAAGCTATAATATATTTTGAATAGAGAAGAATGTTCAAAACTGAGTCAAGTAGGCATAATAAGTCACATAGATAGTTAATAAAAGTATTCTTATACACTGACTTTATATTAAAATAATTACACATGCAATAGTATTAAAATCATTCATTAAACTAAATCATATTTAAATGCAAATAATTAATATTATAGTTCTAGAGATATAAATAATAATAATCAACTTTTCTCATATTTCATTTTAATATCAATTGATATGCTATTTTTCAATATAGAATTTGTATGGAAAATAGTACGTATATATCTTATACCTATATTTTAGTATCTAAATAAAGTCTTAGATAACGTATATGGATTTTTTATACATATCTAAACATATCTAATATTTTATAATGTTTTCTAAACATATCTAATATTTTATAATTATCAGACAAGCATTTGAAACGAATATGTGCTATTTTAGGGTAAATATCATACAATGTATCTCAATATACGCTACAAAATATATTGAAACAAATGTAAAATCTGTGAGCGTATTTATTTCTACTATAAATTACATTTACACGGAAAATCTTTCATTAATGTAAGATAAAAAATTCTAAATAATAAACATTTTCTTTTAATCATCTAAAGAGTTTACATATAGGTATAAAAGATATACTTATAGATATACTTATAAGATACATATATTGATCATCTATTTATCAATTATAAATGTAAATATATGAATATAATAATAAACGTATTTCTAATTGACCAATAGCACTACTAGAGGAGAGCCCAAGAACTAGAGGAGAGCCCAAGAGCTGATTTTACATTTTAGCTGATATCAGTCCACCAGCGCCCCCATGTGCATAAAAGGTGCACCTTGAACTACATTAGCTATGTCCACGGATACTTCCGACGAGTAATATACTATTTGCCGTTGGTTCTATTCCATGCTATTTGTAAAACACGACATATACTCATACATCTCAAGCAGATTTTAAATACACACATGTATAATAAAATTTATTTTTGCGTTTATAACTTTACTTGTAAAAGATCTATTACTTTCAATAAACTACTTTTAATAATAAATTAAAAATGTAATTAAGAGAAAAGTAACTTAAAATAAATGTCTTATTAAAATAAATGTGCATACATTTTTAATTCATTGAAATTTCAATGAATTGATGAAAAGATACATTATTCATTGTGTTATTCATGGAAAGTTTGTTGAAAGTAATAGATCTTTTTAAGTTACTTTTCTCTTAATTACATTTTTAATTTATTATTAAAAGTAGTTTATTGAAAGTAATAGAGCTTTTACAAGTAAAATTATAAAAGCAAAAATAAATTTTATTATACATGTGCATATTTAAAATCTTGATACACATAAATCATCTTACACAGATATAAATCATAGAGCCATGTCTATTATTTCGCTCATTTTGTGGATTAACATGAATATACGTCGAATAAAAATTAAATAGATTTAATAATATTCAAAAAGTAAGACACGTATTAAAACTTGAAAATAACTTAAGAAAGTTAAGAATTTAACAGTTAAATTTAACAGTTAAACTTAAGAATTTAACTATGCAATATTAAAGAAAGTTGAATTTAACTATGCAATTTCAACATCCATTTCTCAGTTAGCGCTAGTGTTTCGATTCTGATTGGTCCTAGCGATGCACAAGATATTTTCACGATTACATCAGGTTGCATGGAGTAGGCTTGCGTCGATGTGGTGTTTTTCTTCTTGACGAATTTGATTAAAATTATTTCTAAACTTGATTGAAAATCATATAACTATGTCAATTAAAGAAGTTGGAAACGTAATATAAAATTATCTTATTATACACAATTTTAAAAGACTAATGTCTAAACCTAACCTCAAATCGTCATTTAATATCTATAATCTCTATCATATTATTGAGTGTTTTCTAATTCTAACTAAATATTATCCAATTGCAATTAACGGGATTATTGTAAATTATTTCAGTTATCCATTTATTACGTGTACAATTCAATAATTAAGATTCTTGTATATTCTAATTTTAATAGAAAAATATAATCTCATTAGCATTCCTTAAAAATTATGTTACTATATATAAATTATGTAACTATATAATGTGATGAAATTTAAGTGGATTAATAGACTTAATAATTATAAAATTTTTATTAATTAAAATACAAAACCAAAACTGTTACAGCGATTATATTACATACCAAAGATAAGTCGATGGAGTAAAGGAATTGGTGCTGAATTGCCAGAAGAGTTTAAAAAATTTTGGAAAGAATGGAAGTTGCAACAACCAACTGCAGTTCATTATATTAAACAGGAAGGCACTTATGTAAGAAATGATAAAACTGAGGAAGTGTAAGATATAATTTTTATAAAATGATATATTATCAATTAATCATATTATATATATAATAAATATATTAATTATATATGTTTATACGTAATACATGTGTAGTATATGTATATACATGTATATATATATATATATATATATATATATATATATATGTGTGTGTATGTGTTTATAGTGTATATGTGTTTATAGATGCATATATAAATCTCAAGTATTTATAATAATTATATTACATTTGGAATAACTTGTAGACGTCCAGTACAAAATGTACCATTACCTTTATTATATCCTAAAGAGATTGATGATGGTATATGGGGAGGAGAAGCTATTGTTCAAGGCTTTAAGAAAAAAGGCTTATTTAAAAGAAGAGTTCCACATTTTTGGATACCTCATCTAAAGAAATCAATTGTTTACAGCGAAGTTCTTGACACATATATGAGAGTTGTTGTAACTGACAGAACCCTTAGACTAATTCATGAAAGTTATGGATTTGATCATTATTTATTAAAGGTATATCGATATTTAAGAACTAACAAAAAGCATCAGATTTAAGCATATATAGCAAGATCTTTGAAAATGCATTATATAAAACGGTTTTCTTGAGTAGACACCAGCATGCGATTTGAGATCTGTGCTTGCTTTGAGACTGAAACGCCAGATACTTATCGCATTAGCAGATAAAACTTTATATCCTAATGATCCAGAAAAATGTGCAGAAGTATATGCTAAATACGAACAATATCTTTCAGCTGTAAGTAATTTGTTTATATATTGCATTCAAGTCAAAAATTATAAATTAGAAATGAAAAGAATATTATCAACTGACAATCCATATTATGTATAACATACATAATTATTGTAATATTAATATATGTAATATTAATATTAATATATTTTTAGTATACAAGAGAAGAAATAGAATGGTATGGTTTAACATACAAAGAAGCCTGTTTAAAATGGATAAAATTGAAAGAGACAGAACCACAACCCTTGAAAATTCAATATAGATCAGAATTAATTGCCAAACTTAAAGAGAATAAAATTAAAGAAGCTGAAAATGTGGATGTTATATTACCAGAAGAAAAGTATGTAACTATATGCATTTGTCATATTATTATTTTCAAATTTATAATTGAACTTATATTTTTTATAGAACTTCTTGGTTAAACAAGCTAAATCCTTTCTCCAAAAGTCCAAAAACAGAATAGATAAATTTCTATTCTATTTATTATATATCACAAGGAAAGTTTTTAGTTCAAATTATTAATTTCTTGAGTATTCTAAACTTTGAGATATTTTTTAACACTTAATAATTATTAATGTATAAACAAATGTAATAAAGCAAATAAAATAAATTTATCAAAACTAATAAGATTTTTTGAATATTATATTTTTTGAATAGGTAAATGCGATTCCATTTATTATTTCCGAAATAAATTATTAGATTTCGATAGAACTTGAAATTTAATATTATTATTATATTATTTATAATGCCAACATTTGTAATACAATTGTTATATATTAATTTATTATTTATTAAGTCTGTATTTTTCAATCAAAACTTAAATGTTACAAAAATTATATATCTAGAGATATATTAGAATTGTTATATAACAAAATAAGATTATAATGTACATTTAAAATATTTATATTGATAATTCTCTTGCTATAATTGAAGAAAATTTATTTTTAAAATTATATTAGGATATTGAGCATTCTAAATCACCATCCTTTGGTAAACAGTCAAGCGTTACAGCGACGGCTCTTGTAATATAGGTCATTGTTCCATAACTTCCGCTGGGTGCAGAATCATAAAAATGCTGACAAATGTATGCTGCTCCACCACAGAGGAGTGTCCCCATAGGTGTCATTTCGCGTTGCTCCTTTGGTTTTGCACAACATAATGTCGCATCACCATCGATGGCCATCTATAAATTTTATAATTTTTTTATATTTAAAAATATAGAAAAAAAACTTTTTAAATGAAGATTCTCTTTCGTCCATATATAATTTACATTAGAATATATATTTTCTAAATATATTAATTTTTAACATAAAAAAATAAAAAAAGATTAGAAAAATAAACTGCTTAAAATAGAATAACTCATTAATAAGAAAATTAATTAGTTATTCTTTTTTTATACTTCTTATTTTTTATTTTTTTTTTAAGAAAATTCATGCATTATTAAATACAAATAAAAAAATACCTGATCTTCTAAGAAAATAGCGTTTGCTTTATGTACCAAATGTTCAACTTCGATTAGACCACCTAAAGATGGTACGATATTATATTCAGTCACTAACGTTAACACCATCAAAGCTTCGACAACGAGTTGACGATATTCCGGTTGTGGTATAGTATTCAAAACAGTTTCTACGGCCAATGCAAATTTCAATTCGCCAGATGTCATTTCCTGTGTGAGATTTTGAGGCAGCACTCTTCCTTCAATCGCTAAACCATGACACTGTTAAAAATTATAAATTTTTATGAAATTGATGATATTGATTGAAGACATTGAAAATTTTAGATATTATATTTATTATATTGTTGGATAATAGCAACTTATAAACTTACCTTTTCAAGCACTTGCCATACACGCGGATAGAAATCTCTCGGTACTCTATTCAACGCACCATCTAATCGTCGCCTTCGTAACCATTGACCTTGTCGATCTATTTCTGCTTCAGCACTCTCAACATTTTGATCAGCGCTTAAGAAACCACCAATTTGAGATTTCTATGCAAAAGAAAAGTATTCAACTGTTTATATATTTGTTTAACTTATAATAAGAAGTCAAATCAATCATATTTATTCAATTTATTTAAATTTATTTAGTTGTCAGCTAAAATAATTCTATCTATTAGAATATTGATAAAATTATATTAACAAAATTTTCAAGAATTTAAATATATTTTTATATAATATAAATTAAATGACATATTAAGTGTATAGTTATATAATTATATGTAAACTACAATTTATTAAATTATACTAGAAATATTACCTTGCTGACTCTACTTGACTTGCAGCTAATAACGGAGAAATTGCCACGGCCAACTATAATGTAAATATATGTATTATTATATAAATATTCTAATAAATATATTTTCTAAAACTTTTAATTAATCACAAAACAGAAACATACCACTGCTAATAGCAAATTCTTTTCCACTCATAATATGATGCAGTAAATTTTTCATCTCAAAGGGAGAGAGATTTAATAGATGTTCAGAAGCTTCTTCACCGGTGCAGATTAATGTTCGTGACAGTTCCGTTGCCATAACTTGTATGATTAAACCGACACGCAATCTTAGCATCTCAAGAAATAATTGTGGCTCCGTTCTAATAAACATTGCTAGATAGACTAGCAATTCCTGTGTCAACATAGCAGTTGACTCATCATCACCGTATGCCTGATGGATCAGAGCTCGTAGTTCGTTTTCTGGTAGAGGTGCGACTATCGTGTGCTCGTTACTCGGTGGCATACCAACGGTAACTTGTTTTTGTCGCACTAATAGATCAGTAACCGCTTTCGCTAGATCTTCCACCCTTTTACCCAACATACCCGCACTATGTCGCACGATACCCCACATCTTCTGTTGACAAGCTTTTTCGTATAGACTCTTCAACAAATCCTTCACCAGAACAGGATGTCCCTCTTCCAGTACGCCCGTATCAAAATGTAATCCCTTCGAGTCCACCTATGCATGTGAAAAATAACTTTATATTTTAAGTTAATAAAAAAGTCTTTCTACGAATTTTTAAAATAAAAGGATAACTAACAATATATTGCAAAATATCTCCTTGCTCTTCGAGACTTTCTGTTTCACGTAGCATAGATAGCAATTCCTCCACTTCAGTCTCTGCATACTGGGTCTCGGATATTGTTCTATGTTTGGCTTTAGGAGAATTTTTCCATGACAGTAGCTCATCTGTTGGCGATGGCGTACGCTCAATCGGCACTGGTTGGGTAGCATTGAGAGATAATGTAGTATCCGTCACTTCAATAAATGGATTTACAATTAAAACAGTAGAATGTCTACGGTCTTCCCCTGCCATTCCAAGAATTTCAGCTAAAATATAAAAGAAATTTTTAATTTATATGAACTAAGTAATATTATTTATTATATTGACTGCGTTCCGATATTCACTGCCAGTACTGAAAATCTATAATATATGTGATCTGAACTATATATTTTCAGTACTGACAGTGAATATCGGAACGCAGTCATTAAAATATTTATTATATCAATTTTCTAAATACGTATTAACAAGTTGTATCATGTGTAACATATATAATAAGTATATGTATAGAACAATATTGACAAAAAGAAATACGGACGATAACAATAAATCACATTCTATAAAAAGTTTATTATAAGTATTATAAAATCATCTCATCTCTTTTTTTTGTTATGAGTTAAATATAGATTAAATAATACTGCATCCAGTTAATAAACTTACGTTCTTGGAAGATGATAATAATCACAGCAGTAGGGAGACATTGTATTATTGTTTAAGGATCCTCTTTAAAAGACATACAATCAGCACACAGTTAGAATATGAAAAGCATTCCATTTCAAAATTTTTTAGTGGGACAAATGTTGCTTACGTTCGACAGCTATGGATCGGGTCTTTTTTATCGCGCCTTTCACGGACATTCTACGCCGTAGATTTTTCGCTGTACGTATTGGGCCGGGTTTATTGAGAAGTCCCGTGCGATGAGGGAATGGCCGCATTAAATGTTCCTCCAAATATTGCTGAACCTTGTGAACATAAAAATAAAAATTATATATGCATGAAATAAATATATAAAGATTCCTCATAGCATTTCGTATCATCATAGTTAATGCATATTGTGCATACTATGCATAAAGTTCATTGCGCATTGTTTACCGCGCATTTTCTCATTGTCCTTTATTCGTTAATTTTTTTGAATATTTTAATTCTATATACCTGAGGATTTAATTTGTCAGGACGACCGTCCTCAGAACTTCCCAAGAAACTAAGATTCGTGATACACGATGTACTTAAGAAATCATTCAAATTTCCCAATGACACTCTAGTACCGTTGATGTAACCGCTTTTCAGCTTTTTCATGGTAGTTATCATGGCTAATGGTATTTTACCTTGATCTAAAAAAAAATCATTAATTAATTGGAAAAAAAAAGATAGTAAGATAAATAAAAGATAGTATCTTCACAATTCAGACAAGAATTTTTTATACAGAACATCACAAAATTCTCTCATATTATACATATAAAATATAAAGTATATATAAAATATAAAGGTCATCGAAAATTAAGAAATAAAAATGCATGTGATTTTTCATTCTAGAGTAGAATTTTACATTAAACATTTAAAATTTATTTAATCATATAATTACAAACTATAAAGAGTATTTCACGTAGTTGACACACTAGACAACAGATTTTACATTAATGCTATTATACATGTCTAATCTATAATCTACAGACAAATAACACAGTGACAATTTATAATTTACCCAAACTTCAAACTTATATTTAAAATAAAGTTATTGCTCAAAATAAAAATATATTAGTTTTACTTATTTCTTCACTGGACTTTATAAAATTTTTCTATTTAAATTTTATAATATCCTGTATACAGTTTCTAACAGTCAATTTCACGTTAGCTATGCTACATTCTAATATCTGACGGATTTTGTTGTAGGATGAGATCTAACGCTTCCGACGAAGCCGTACCTAAATGATTATGAGTAGCGACAAGGGTTACAGTTGGTCTGCCGAGCATTTGCTTCCAGTTGATTTTGAGGAAGGCCAAGGTGGTTGTAAAAGTGTTCACAAGCAGGTCGGCGTCGTTTGTCGTGTAGTACTCCTCTGTGTCAAATTTCTAACACATGCAACACACGCGCATACCACCAAACACATAATAAGCCATATCAGGATAATTTTGTTGCTTAATGCTTAAAAATGAAGCAATCTCGCCTCGAATATTTTGCTTTCATCCTGCATTGTATCAGTTGAACATTTTCAATACAATTCACAATCGCATCCATTTTTGAAGTCTGTATGTCTGAGTCATGTTAGTAACGGAAAGTGTATAAAAACATAACATGAAAATGAAAACTAATTAAAAGCTCATGTCATAACTCTCTATGGATAGTACCATCTTAATATCATATTAATTTTCAAATTGAATTGTATTATTAAAGATGAATCTCTCTCTCTCTCTCTCTCACTCTCTATTCTTCACTCTATCTTCAATCTTACGTACTAACTTACTACGTACTACTACGTACTAGTACGTACGTACGTACGTACTACGTACTAACGTTAACGTACTACTACGTACGTACTAACTACTACGTACGTCGTACGTACGTACGTAACGTACGTTACTACGTACTACGTACGTACGTACGTACGTAACGTACGTACGTTAACGTTACGTTACGTTAACTTACGTACGTACGTAACGTTACGTACGTTTTTTTTTTACGTACGTAACGTTACCGTTACGTTAACGTTACGTACGTACGTACGTAATACGTAACGTTACCGTACTACTACGTTACGTACGTACGTACGTACGTACGTACGTACGTACGTACGTACGTACGTAACGTACGTACGTACGTACGTAACGTTACGTTAACGTACGTACGTACGTACGTACTACGTACGTACTACGTACGTTACGTACGTACGTACGTACGTACGTACGTACGTACTACGTACGTACGTACGTACTACGTACTACTACGTACGTACGTACGTACGTACGTACGTACGTACGTAACGTACGTACTACGTACGTACGTACGTACGTACGGTACGTACGTACGTACGACTAACGTAACGTACGTACTACGTACGTACGTTACGGTTACGTTAACGTTACGTAACGTTACGTTACGTTACGTACGTACGTTACGTACGTACGTACGTACGTACGTACGTACGTACGTACGTACGTACTACTACGTACGTACGTACGTTAACGTTACGTAACGTAACGTTAACGTTACGTTAACGTACGTACGTACGTACTACGTAACGTACGTTAACGTACGTACGTACGTACTACTACGTACGTACGTACTACTACGTACGTACGTACTCTCGTACTACTACTACTCTACTACTACGTACTCGTACTACTCGTCTCTACTCTCTCTCTCTCTCTCTCTCTCTCTCTCTCTCTCTCTCTCTCTCTCTCTCTCTCTTTCTCTCTAGATAAAACTTATAATAATAACTAAAACTAAAATAACTCTTAAAAAGTTTAATATCAGATTAGGCCATAGAAAGTTAAATAATTGTTAAATGAAACCATAACAAAAACAAACGCATGCAAGCAGACATTAGTTGTGGAGAGCGGACAATCACAGCATTGAAGAAAACGAGAAATCTCACGCAAGGAATTTTTCAAAATTTCTAAGAACGATAAGAGCCACAGAATTTGCCTAATCATGACAACTTCATCGGATTTCAAAAGCCTAAGGTAGTGGCTATGAGAAAGAACTATGTGATCTTGAAATCGTTAAATTACCTAGATGAATATTCTTGAGGGGCATGACCACAAGAGGTCGGCCCAACATATTCTGCCAACTAGACTTCAAGAAATTAATTTCACCTTTGAATATGTCAATCATGAGCTCATAGTCCGATGCGATGTAGAAGCGGGTCATATCTGTCAACTAGTCAATTCGGTGCGAGAATAAGAGGAAACATAAGAAAAGAAGTAAAGATACAGAGAGATGATAGAATTCGCGAATAAAGTTCAGATATATTTACCTGCGGTGTGAACGCGAATATCTTATCGTGTAAGGAATATAATTTACTAGTGCTGAGAATTCCCACATCTCTTGATTTACGTCCAGACAATCCCAGTTTCTTGTTACGTCCTAAAAACAAAATAGTATAAAATATATAAAATACCTAAATTACATACACACATACACACACTTTAATAATTTCTAAATTATTCTTAATCTTATTGAGTTATACCTAAATACGTATATAAATGACTGAGAACTTTTGCAGGTTGTACTTCAATCGGTGCAACTTCTGCAATTGTTTGTACATGAATATCGTGTTGTGCAATTTTTTCCCTAATTTCTGTATCTTCTGCTAAAATAACTACTTGTACCACAACATCCGGCTTTTTTTCACTACATAATCGCCTATTTAAGGGATCTAACTCGCCAACTGCAAGAAATCCCTACAAATTAAGAAACAGATAAAATTATAAATTTCATTTGATATTTTTTAATATTTTAAATATTTGTATATAAATTAACATAACAGATATGTTTGCTAATAACTTTTTGAAGTTAAACAATTTAAAGGAATTCTTAACTTGCTTTAATTATGCTTCTGAAAATGTTACCTCTTGTAGTAATTTTCCTAAAATGTAAAGAGATTGCGCCCATTTAAATGGACATCTGCCTAAAGCTATTCGGTTTTGACTACCAGGTTCGGCATATTCCGCTGACACATTCTCAGGAGCAACAGAGTATAATTCAGGTACTAATTTCATACTATCCTCTGTTTTAATCATTACTTCCTCCAATTGTTTGGTATACATCTCAACTGCTTCCTTATTACCTTGGAAGCAATAGTCTAATATTAAATAACAGAAGAACAGTGGCCATTCACATTCGATATTCTCAAACATACGAAGTTCCCACGGTTCATAATACAATCTATTTCAAGGAATATAGTCATTAGTCAAAGTATAAATTTTATTGAAAATATAAAATATTATTTATATTATTTATTTTAATTACTTAATAAATACCTGTTTACATCTTCCTTAGGCGTTTTATATCCATCCCTTAAAAATCTTTTACAACCATATCGTCCCTGTAATTTCTTAATAATAGTCTCGCGTGTCTCGTGAATCAAATTAGGTTCATCCATTGCAAATGCAGGGAAACTTATGATTGACAGTAAGCCACTATCTAATTCCTTGGAGTTCGATTCTCTGGGCAACATGGATTGTAGCACGGCTTGGCATTTCTGTGCCTCATCAGCCAAAACATGAATAACTGAGGTAGGTCCACCTCTTGCTCCAAATAAATCCAATTCATTCATTGCCTCCATTGCAGCTTTGGCCATTCCGATGCTGCTTGCATTTAATTCCGGCAAACCATGATTTGTTTTATCCCCTCTTTCCCAAATTCCATAATCTGGAGTACAATAGGCAGATTCAATATAAAATACCAAATTCTGAATAAAGGCCACCTAAAAATAATTGTTAAATTCACAACTCGATTTCTCAAATCAGGAAATTCACATAAATGTATATATTTATGTATATATTTATCACTTTATATAGCTATATTGTACAATTATATTGCTGAATATTATATTGCAATTGTTTCTTGTTATAACTATATTAATGTTGTAATATACTAATGTCGAATATCAATACCTCATCCAAGTTGAAAACGATCTGTAAGCCAGACGCTGTCATTTGAGCTAAAATTAAGAGATACAGAGAAATTGCATCAATTTGAAGATGTCCCCATTCGGTATCTCCAACCACAGTTTGACCATTGGTAGAACTATACTTTGCATGCAAAGCATCATGTGGATTTTGACTAGACTTGAATTTTTCCACTTTTTCCTTCTGTTGCATCATTGCCATTAGAAGACCTCTCATTAGCTTCACACAACTTTGTTCCAATTCGTAAGTTTTCGCTCTATCCTCATCAACATCTGCTATCTTTTTATAGGCCATTGATAGACCCCATACAGCTAGTATGCAATAAACATTGTCCCGTATCCAGGCATGATTATTATCAGAGCTTGCAGGAAAGAGTCCGGTAACAGGATTCTGATGATTCATAATTATTTTGTGAACGATTCGTTGATAATAGTCCAAACGGACACCAGAATTACTTCTACTACGCATTTTGTGTTTTTACTATAAAAAAGAAGATTATAATTTTATATTTCAAGCTGAAAATCATCAGGTTTAGACATGCATATATAAAATTCAAATTTATTGTACTTTAATAAGTCTATTTATATAAATCAACTTTAATACACTCTTTTATATAATATATACTTCTCTAAATTGATCATAAACCAGTTAAACTAATTATCCTACAACAACACAGATTTCCAAGAGATATTCTAAAGATGTTCAGAGGACATTACGGAAAAAAGGACATTCTAAGGACCAAGATGTCTCTCGAATAAAGTGTGCTGTATGGATATAAATAAAATAATGCAACTGATAAGAGAATAATTTCATAATTTGCTATGTATATAGATTTATTATCATGAGTCATGAGTCAACTTAGTCAAATTAGTTACGATTTTCACATTTCCGGAGCATTTAAATCGCCACGAGGAGAAGTAGACTCCAACTTCCAAAGAGTAGGGTTAAAAATCATGGTCATCAAGCTGCGCGTACCTTTAAATAGCAAGCTCGTTGAGCTTTAATTCCAAGAACGGTACTCAATACTCTAGGCACTGGATCAATTGTATCTTATGAAGAAACGAGAAAACCGCATTTTTTTCGCGAATCCAAGTTATAGCCGGGGCTCCGAGACGCAATGTGAAACGAATGTCAAGCACGCTCGACGTATAAGCATACATATGTGTGTATATATATATATATATATATATATATATATATATATATATATATATATATATATATATATATATCTAGCGTGCCCAGATCATGCGAGATCCACGCATACGCAGTAAAGTGGAGCTTCAGTTACGTCGCAATGAATGGTATAGCCAGGCCCTCTACAAGAGAAGAACAGAAATGTTGAAGAAAAGAGATGACGCAAGAGACTCCCTGTCACCCGAATCAGAGAGGAGGCGTCTCTCCGATGCGAGTAAACAAGCAACGTTTCGCGCACAATTTTAACGAGGCTTATTAATGTTTTATCATGTCTGCCTCGCTTCGTGTCGCTGCCGGATAATGTTGGATAATTTGCGCATTGACGTCAACAATATAATATAACGTACTTGTGTGTTTCCCGCTCACGTTTATTGTCTGCATCCTTCGTGGATTACAATCGGTCCAACTGTCGCATCTTACATCTTCGTGCTTGATGCCCAATTCGGTTATTTAACTCCAATGTCGTTACACGTTATACGAACGAAAATCTTGATGAATTCGAGAAAATCGTTAAATTTGGAAATATTTTTTTTCTTAAATGCAATCGTCATTTATATTCGGATATAGAATTGAAGATATTCTAAATCTAATTTAGACAAATTCTTCATTCTCTTTCGACTCGTGCGTTAAACTTTGCACGATTTTCGTCATGGAACGTTTTTCTTACATTTCGTATTTGGTAAAAATAGAGACAAACACGTGATGCGTGTTATGTAGCAATGCCTTTTCGTAACAATTCAGGTCTTCAGAAGAAAAATCTTTTCGTTTCTAGAAGGTCGTCTTCTTCTCTGATTTTCTCCTTGATTCTTTGTACATTTTGCATAAGAAATCATCGCAATTAATTTACGTTACTGTAGTGATAAATTACGAATTAAATATGTGTGTGTGTGTGTGTGTGTGTGTGTGTGTGTGTATATATGCATATGAGCATATATATGCTCGTTTCTTGCAAAAGACATTATGAAACTTTCACAAATTGCGATGAATTGATTCATTTCTAAATAATTACATAAACCTGTTTCTATTAGCTATACTGTACTATATTTTTTGCATTTAAAATAAAACGGGTAGATACTTAAGGCTTGACATTAACTTTAATCGATGATTAAATAGTATATTGTCTAGACTTCTAACTCATCATACATCATTCATTATAATTCAATTTTCTTCCAATTTGTAATAAAAAGAAGAACATTTATAATTACAAAATAAAACAAATACTATTTGATATAAATAAAATATTATTAATTTTTGATGAACAGAAAAATAACTTTTGACTAGACATTGTATTTAAACATTTTTAACATTATATAACAAATCGGAAAAAGTGGATTAAAAGTGATTAATGATTAATAACTTGGAATTTGGATACTATTAATACATTACGTAACATTTTCTGCTCCGATATTGCATTTTTGTTTTCTCTACTTCCAAATATTCGAATGCGAGAGAGAGAGAGAGAGAGAGAGAGAGAGAGAGACAAATTTTACAAAATATTTATATTTCAAACTTTATTTATTTTTTAATTATAGCAGATTTATTGCAAGAACTTGTCATTTGATATAATGTTTCTAAAAGTGAGCCTTAAGTCTTTTGATTGGCTGTAAGCCACCTTTAAAGGCATTTTTATAGATAAAAGAAAATTCAGAATATGGGCCATAGTTTATTTGGATTACAAAAAGTTATAGACTCCGTTTCAGTTTCTACTGGCGATCTGATTACATCTCGCTAGACTCTGCTGGCAGAACATGAGTTCTTATAAAGCAGTTGATGCTAATCTGCCGCAATATTTCGTTCTATTAGCAAATTTATGTTATATCGCTTACATATTGCTTGTCGAGATTAAATTCGTGCAAAAATCTTCATTTTAAAAGGTTCTCAATTTCGCTTGAATCATAGTGATTGTATCGAAGACTCTCGTCGATAAATATCTACCTCCTTATCTACGATCACTTCATCGTTTATCTTCCTTCAAAAAGAAATTTAAAAATCAAATTTTCCGAATGTACACCACACGCTTGCCTCTCTGCATCTGTCCGAGGGGCACCTCGTGTGTCTCTAAGGAAGAGAAAGGCAGAGAGAGGAAAAAGGAGGAGAGGGAGGAAACGCGGAGAAGCAGAGAGAAGAGGGAAACGGCGAAAGTGCGGGCGAAACGAGGAGGGACTTGCGATTGCCGCACGCGCGACAGTTCGCAACGGCCGTCAGCTGTTATGGCCTGACCATCGTCGGTCGTTCCTCGCAGTGTCGCGACCAGTCTTATTTCTTTTCTTTTTTTTCGTTCCCCCCCTCCTCCCCTTTTGCCCTCACATTTTCAATTTCATCAGCGAAAGATCGTCGTCCCCGTCGGATCTCTCCAGGTTCCTCCCCGTCGTGCCGATCAGATCCGCAACGCGGACATGCTGCTCGTGCTTAACCCTTTATGTCCGCCACTGTTGCCTGTCACGCTGCTCGTCGCAGTGCTAACCTTATCTGTCAGCGCGGCAGCAGATGGCACGTCCTCGGTACCGTCGGTGCCCGGCCACGACGCTCCGATCACGTCGTCGTCACCGACAGTCGAGATTCCCGACGCAACGGACGGCAGGAAGGAGCTGGTGTGTATATATATGTGTGTGTGTGTGTGTGTGTGTGTGTGTGTGTGTGTGTGTGTGTGTGTGTGTGTGTGTGTGTGTGTGTGTGTGTGTGTGTGTGTGTGTGTGTGTGTGTGTGTGTGTGTGTGTGTGTGTGTGTGTGTGTGTGTGTGTGTGCACTGTGCAATACGCAGTTTTCATTTCACGCGTGGGTTTTGCACGCGTGAGTTCATCATGTTGAATCTTACTTGTTTTGATCTACGTTGTATTTCGCATTTCGCGTTCCACACTGCGCTCTTTTGAGCTTTTCCTTATTCTCTTACGCGTTTTCGTGTTATTCTGTTTTCGTGGTATTCGGGTATTTTTAGCTGCAATCTGCATTCTTAGCGTTTTATATTCTTTGCTTTTGTATTCTCGTATTCTGTTGTACGTTGTATGCTTTTGTTTTATTTTATTTTCATTCTTTTCTTGCTAGCCCGTTCTGCGAGTTTCAGCTTCTGTTTTATTCTATTTTGTTTCTGCCTTGCTTTTTTATATTTTTTATTTTATTTTTAGACTTGAAATATATTATGTATATTAGATAAATTTTATTTATCTCAAGTTTTGAGAGATTCTATATTTTATCAATTCTATATTTGGAAAGATTTTACAATTTACTACAAATTTTATTAACAAAATATTAACAGAAATAAAATAGAATCGATTAAAATAATATATATTCCATTTTTATAAAATAGGTACAAAATTATATTAATTTTAATTACTGGTAGTAATCTGCTGTCAGATTATATTTCAAATTTATATAGCAAACTTAACTAAAATATAAATTTAATATGTAAATATATACTAAGTATATACAAATATTCTATTCAAATGTACTATCAAGCTATGTATTATTAATACATATTATTAATATTACATATTATTAATATTTTGTTATTGGTTTTGTAATAGTTTTTATATTTAAAAATATATATTTAATTTGATATAATATAATAAATCTGTAAATAATTAAATAGTTTTTCGAAATTTTATGCATGTTTTCAACATTTTTTATAAATCTTAAATAATTTTATGAAATAATGAAATATTTTTTAAACAGTATACAAATGTGGCGGAAGGAGGACCCATATCAGTGTCTTCAAGTACCACTCAACATGGAAGCAATAAAGAAACAGTTGAGACTGAATTCAAGTCTGAATCCAAATCCCGAGAGAATGTGCCTAAGGAGAGAAATGCCAGTTCTTCCATTGTCGCAAGGAAGGGAGTTGAGGAGAAAATAAAAGCGAGAAAGGGAGTTCAAGAAAATGTAAAATTGGATCAGAGTATGGAAAATGAGAAGGAAAATGCATTTAATCAATCCATCTTTGAAAATATGAAATCAATAATGGAAAATAATCCTGCGCTAGAAACTGATCATGTCAAATCTAAAACTTCTAATATTAATACCCCGAAATTAAATATCACTAATCCACGCCTTGATGATAGTTCAAATCGCGGTATAAACTCTAATTATTCCAATACAAATATATCAGTAAATGTAACAACATCTCACCTAAAAATTATAACTAATACAACGGTAAAGACCTCACATACTGAAAAGCATATACCAAAACCTAAACCAACGGTGACAGCTGTTGATGGACCAGAAATTAACGAACCTATACCATCATCACGAACAAAAAACCCTTCACTAGGCATGCCAAGAAAAATCGATTACATTGTACCGGTTATTATAACAATTGTCGCTTTACCAATATTGGGTGCTGCCATTTTCATATTGTATAGGCACGGTCGAGATTGCTGGGATAAGAGACACTACCGAAGAATGGATTTTCTGATTGATGGAATGTACAATGACTGAGAATCATATAAGAAGAAAAAATTTGTTTCATGAGATTAAATAGATATTATGCAGAGGCAATCAATATTTTTACATTTTTCAATAACTTTAAATACAAATTTATATGTTCTCTTGAAATAGTCGAGTAATAATTTTTTTTATGATGATATAAATATCCAAACGATAACAATATTTATCATTAAAAAATCAAATATCAAATATCTTGATACTATACGGTTTATAAAGATATTGAATGATATATCACTAATCATAACGATAACATCTAAGTTCACCTGCTGCATTAATATCTAAATTTACTATATAATTTTTTTATCATATTGCCTTAATAATAAGCAATAATTTTATAATTTATTATATAATAATTAATACGTTTTAAAGTTCATAACTATATTAAACAAGAATTATTATAAGTATTAAAATAATAATTTTGTAAATACTCTTCATTGCAGCTAAATTTACAATTTTCTAAAGTATATTCTAAAAATATATATCTATATATATATATAATATATATATATATATACATATATTATATATATATATA